ATCATGCTCCCCTTCAGCTTCCTTCACAACGGACGCTGCATGGTCACAATCCCAAGTGCTTGCAGAGGTGCATGACTCACCCCAGGTGAACTTCACATCTTTTCTGCTGGCCCTTGGGACGAGTTCACGGCTGCGATCGGGGCGCGTGATTCCGCCTTCACTCAATCTGCACAACCTGTTTGCTAGAGGGGATGAACCGAAAGAAACTGGCCAAATCGTCCTCTCCCGTAAAACTCCGGTCTGATGTTCATTTCGCCATTTCGCAGGTGAGCTAGAGCTGCTAGCAAACCTCATGTGAAAATAGAGACCTCTCAAAGACCCCCTGGAAGATGGACAATGGACCAGTCTACCAATTGGTTTGTTGCAGTCCTGTACCTCTCACGTGCAAACCTGGGGAGGTACTTGTCTCAGCCTGAATCCCGGGCAGAGACAAGAAGCAAAGCCGCCAAAACCCCTTGGTTGGGAGGTCCCAAGATTAAAATGCATACCCATGTGGTGTCAGCACCATTGAGTTGAACGGAACCTGCGACATGCCACAGCGACGGACTTTCAGGATGAAATCACCATGCCATGGAGAGCCATATGCCGAGTCATGAAGGAAAGGATCTGTTAAAAAGAGGAATCACGATGATAAAATATCGCGAAAAGAGGAGATGAGTTTCTCAGCTAAAATTGGAGATGAAACTACATAGTTTGATATCTGACTTGAACAGCCTCTTCCAATCCAAGGTGTTTCTCAAGTGGCCATGTTGCTAAACCTTTGCCACTTCGTGAGAATATATGAGGATTCCTACTCACATCAGTACTGGCATCATGTGGCCATTTTTGTCCAATGAATATGCTCGCCCTCGTGAGCCCTGAGACTGAGTTCCTCCTTCGTGGCTCAGAGACATAGGACATCTTCCAAAGTTGGCTCCTGAAAGGAGCTAAATCTGATTATCTCAAATGAGGCGCATCTCAGGTGTGGGAGGTGTGATGGTCTTGGCTGTCATGATTTTGATTCTGGATGAGTCTGAATCGGCTATCACAGGACATGGATGCCTAGAAAGATCCACCGGGAAATCTTTGCCATATCCTTCACCAACCCACTGCCCTAACCCACTAACCCACTGCCGCAGACGAAGCCGGTACCGACTCGATTCGGCAGCGCTGCCAGGCTTCTCGGTGGTGTTGAAGTGACTGTTTGGAAGAGATAACGCTGTCCAACAGGAAAGATAAAAAAATACCACATGTGACCCACTGTGTTTCTGTGTTTCTTTGTTAATTCAAAAAGTCAGGATTGCTCATCTACGGAAATCACCGCATCAGATCCTGCAGTGCCGGTCCCTAAGTTCCTATCGACTCTTCCTCGCCACCGAGCAAGCACTCGAAGAGCCCCGAAAGTGCTGCTTCTTCGAACCTTGCGCGACCGTCTGGCGGCGGTGCTGGCGGTGTTCGCGGCGGTGCGATGGCAGTGGCTGGGGGGTGATGACGAAACGAGCCCAGGCCCGCGGCATAGCTAGAAAGCTGCGATAACATATCATTGTAGACTATTGAATAACAATACCGAGGTTCTTTCATCCAAATGGGATGGTTTTGTCATCAAGAGTCTACATTACATAAATATGCAATGTCTTCGGTCTGGCAGTCAATATGTTACCATTTGGGCTACGATTTGTACGTAGTTACTATTGGGTTTCACTATGTTTGCTGGTACGAGATAAAAGCAAAGGCACATGTATTGTGATTGCACACATTGCAGGGAGATTGATTCGCTTGAAAAGAAGCTTACCATGGCATCCACTACCCAATGTGCGAGTGTCCGCCAGATGAGATGCTTGTCCGGTTTAGGGTTTAGGGTATGGAGAGGACTTTGATTGAGGGTTTTAGAATCTATAGTGTGGATGATTCAAACCTCCAGACGTGATGTGCAAAATGGAGTCGTGAAGAAAGAAAGCACCACAGAACAATGACATCCCAAATCAAGCCACCACGCCATGTGAATTTCGATAGGTGTGAACCGTGTAGTACATCTACGTAGTACGGGGTGTGTACCTCATGAAAGGCTGGAGTTGGTCAAAAACACTACATGTTTGGTACCATAGAATCCATTTTTGCCCGGCCTGGGCCTGGGCTGTTGGAACCTGCTCGTTTGAAACAAAGGAAAGGATCCTTTGTTGCAGTGTACCCCAACGGTGTCATTCATTCGGGCGTGGCACTAGGGCTTATCAGACCTGGTGTGATTGAGGGAAGCCTGCTGTGCTTACGAATGGATCTTGAACTCTGTTGAATTGCGATCTTGAATAGTTGAACCATGTTGAACCTTTGTTATCTGTTGATGAAGAGCTGACAACTGTTCAACGATGTTCAACGCTTCTTCAAACAGGTTTCGCTTGTCCAACGCTTTCAACCCCTGAAAAGAACAACTGAGGGGCAAACTGTCCCATGATGTTTGTGCTAAAGGAACATGGTCACAGCAGGTGTGGCGGAGAGCTGGGAATTCGGACCATGCCTCCCGACCCTGCGACCGGACGACCGGTCCAATTGGTCCAGCAGACCGGAGAAACCACACCCGCACGACCCGACGGTCGCATCGGTCGCAGCTCCCGGGGTCTCCCCACCGTTTGAAAGCACGGGCCAGCTTCGAAGATCAGAGGATGCCCTTACAAGCAAAAAAGAACGCACCCAGGTCTTAGGGCACCAGCTTCGGGTGGTTTTTTTAGCCAAGACCGTCACTTGTGGTGGGTGAAACGAGGTGACAACTGTGCATGTCCAGTTTGTTGTTCTTGGGGGGGCTGGTTTGGTCAGGGACAAAGGCAGCCTCGGGCCTGCTCATGGCTGCCTCGAGCCTGCTGGGGTGAAGTTCTGTTCAGAGGCAAACGGAAGGGTAGTGCACAGAAAGGGTTTTGCAAAAACCTATTATTCTACTAACATCGTGGAAGGCGCGGGACATTCGTAGAACCCAAGGCTATTCGTGGACAGTTCGTGGAATGGTGGGCCAGTAGCAGAACTGACTGCAACGAAATCCCAGAAACCTTCGCAGAGCTTCGTGGAAGGTATTTTTGATGCACTAACTTCGTACAAGCGATTTTTGCTGACCCCCTTTCTCCACACACCCTCCATTTAGCCTTCATCTGTTCCCAACCTATGGGTCTCAGAAAGGACACTGGGGATTGGTTGCACAGTGGAACTCTGACCTCGAGTCAAAGCCGCGAGTCGTTGCACAGTGCAATTCATGTCAGATGTTCCTTTATGGATTTACGGCTGCGGCTGCTGAACTCTCTTAACATGCTTTCTGTTGCTTCGGCTTGTCACCGGCATTCAAGGTCGCAACATGCCTCAACTACTTGGATTTGCAGACATCAGTTCGAAGGGTTCGAGGGTTTGGCCGCTGCTTTGGGTGGGAGCTAATTCGAGGCATTCCGATCTGGAGCGCCCCGGGCCGTCCACTTCTGGCAGCATCATGCCACTGCAGTTGCATGGCGTCCACATCGTTCAGCTTGAGTCACTGGGATCCCACCGATGTGGACGGCCTGCTTTTGAATTGATGGACATGAATTGTCCCACATGGCATAGAAGTCCCATTCGCCTTAGACACAAGATCTTGCATATTAAACTATATATACTTAGTCCATTCCCTGCAAAGAAGATAAAGAAGGATTGAAAACAAGGCTCCTTCCCCTTGTTTATGAATTAATTGCACTTCTTCCCCAGCCACGTGTGGAGCTCACCTGTCATGTTAGACAGAGGTGTGGGCCCTCAAGCAGTGCTCCAGCTCGTGAGTTCGCCGCTCGTCATCCCCGATCGCCATTTTGGTCGAATCCGGACGAGCCAAAAAGAAGTGTGGGGTGGTGTAGGGTCACAGTGCCACACTCCAGGCAGCTGATGTTGCAAGTCAGACCAGTTGCGAAGTCAGACCAGGCCAGTGACCGGTGCAGCATGCCGAGGTGAATGCAATTACTCAGATGATGCCATGAGGAAGTATATAAGAGTTTCCTGTGGTAGCACTAGTAGCACTCCCCAACCATCCAAAGGCATCTTCCAGGCGTCAACAGGCTGCTTCGTCTGGGTTTCGGCCGGTGGCTGCTGCTTGATTTCGACCATTGGGTGTCCCCACCATACGTTGAGGACCTGTACATCAAGACCAATGACACCTCAATGCACCAAACAGGGATGGGAAGAACGCTTTCCACCATCGTTCTACCATCTTCTACCATCCTTGAAACATCCGTTGGGTTTACCCCATTTTGCGATGACCGAGGTGCTTCCAGAGCTGCGTCCTTTCTTTCGGCTCAACCGTGTCTCCCTGCGAGTCAACCGGGAAAGAAGATCAGCCTACTTCGGTAATTGTCCTGCACATGCCGGGCCATAAACACAGAGTCAAAGCATAGGAGTGGCCATTGGAACAAAGCACCGAAACCTCCTCAGACTCGAACTCACTGAGTCCAAGCGCTTTCCACAAGAAGACCCTTGAGAAACCTTACATGTTCCAGACACTGTCCGCTCTTCGTCTTCGCCGTTAACCACTCGCCGCACGCAGCGTCGTCGGCTCCGTAGCTCGACTTGAGCTGCCAAACAGGTCCAGCACTCAGACAGGTCCGAGTGGACTGGGCTTGAAATCACCGATTCCATGGAGCTCAACTTAGCTCAACCACATCCGATGGAGCTCGGTGGAGTGTTCATGGAAGATCCAGAGAAAGAAGAAACCGGACGGCGAGAGCCGTTTCCCACACCTTGGTACCGTACCCCTATAATAATTAAAATATATTGACCTCAACATATATAGATCTAAATCTGTTGACCTCTGAAACAGTCGGAAGAGGACATCCGACCAGTGAAAGTCTTTCGACCAGTGATGTAGAGAAATACTTTGCACAGCTTCGTTCTTGGGGACTGACTGCTTTTAGGATACTAAGCTGCTCTTTCACTCCCACCCACCCCACCCCACCCACCCCCGTCACGCCAACGAGACCGTGCGACGAACCCGACACGAACCCGAAACGAACCCCTCGTGAGGTCTCATGACCGCGCCGAAACGGAAAAAGGCGCCGAACGTTGGGCGCGCCGAGCGTTTCACTGGTTTGGGCGCGCGGAGCGTTTAGCCGAACTCCCCGTGGCGCAACAAAACCATGCAGTCCCCGTGCGCATTTTTTGGTGTCAGGAAACGGTGCTTTCAATAGAATACGTGGTGGTGTCATTGTTTGGGGCACCCAAAAGCGGCAGCCACCTGTGGAGGTGATTCATCTTCAAGAGTTCTAAGAGGGCAAAGTAATGCAAGTCTTTAGGCTGCGATGTTTCTTCACTCAAGTGGGATGTTAAAACCCACCCTGTGCTGCAAAGTTTTGCATGGTCGATCTTAGTTTCGCATCGTGTTTGAGCTATTGTGTTTGTAGGTTTGCATGACTATACAACTCTTGACGCAAGCAAGCAGGTCATGACGGCGTGTTGCATGCTGCAGAACATGCCGCAGGAAGCTCCGAAAACATGCCCAGAAGAGATTCCTTTTAGTGCATGTTCATGCGCTCTCAGGTGAAGCTAAGCAAGTCAAGCATGTTTGGTTGTACGATCTTGTTTCCCTTGGTTCCGAGTTAAGTATTAGGTGATCATGTGCTATGTTGCTGTGTGGCATCAACGTGCAAATGACTTTTGATCACTTCTCGCCTTCGCCTCATCCGGTTGGTCAAGGTTTACCATTGACAGGGATTTGTGCCAAAAGGGTGATAGAATTGAGAGATCGTTATCAACCAGCACCACGGAAAAAAATGTCCTTGATAGCCCCTTAGAGGTCAAGGGGTGTCCATGAACCACCCCCGACTGGGGGGTCCAGGATGGATGTTCTCCTACCCTACTCTTTGTTTGGTGTGCGTGGCCCGTGGCCCTTCGATGCATTTGTGTCAGCTGGTTGCTTGACAGGGACCAAAATCACACGAAGAGAGGTTTTTCACCAACGCACCAGCAACTCTACAGCAGCAATCATGTCCTGTCTCCAGTTGGCCCCAGCTTTGCCTGAACTCCCGCCGTTCTGCGTCCTCGTTTGGCCCTCCTTGCCTGCGCCCAGTCATCCTCATCCTCTTCGTCCTCGAAGAAGCCGAGGCGCCGCGGCCGCGCCGCAGCGTGCACCAGGACGTGCTGCCAGTGATCACCGATGTTGATACGCCATGATACGGCATCGGACTATAGACCAAAGAGAGGGAACTCCAGGTCACCAGTGATTTGTGAAGAAAGCCCGTTGCGTCGTTGTTTCACATTCGTTGACCCACTTTTGTGGGGGGACTAGACTGGAATCCGGTTCGAAGCAGATCAAACCCATGTGTTCTTCACTGCTCCAGAGCAGAGAGACCTGACCATGGGACCAACACGAGGCAGAACTCTCCAGGGCTGGGGAAGCCCAGTGGAAGGGAGGCTGGGCGGAGCTGGGTGCATGAGTTCAGATTTTCAGAGGGAAAGCCATAGATGCGGCATAAGTTGCGGCATCTTATGTCATATATAGATTCGATTTATATATATATATATATTCCATGCTATATTAGCTGGGTGCATTTGACAAGTCCCCTCCAGGGAGTTGTTTTTTTGGAGGTGCGTCGCGTCGAGTCTTCGTGACACTCCCCTGGTGCGGATGGTCCAGAACCTCAGCGCCTGCAGATGCGCTTTGCATTGCCTCGGGGAAGAAACAGCTCGGGATGAGTGACCTGGAAAATGGCTGGAGACCTGGAACATCGGCAAGAACGAACAGTTTCCTCCTTCTCCCTAAGCAATTTGCCCTTGCGACCACAGCATAAGTTGTTAGGAATGGAGTGCCATTGGCTGGCATATTAACAACAAGAAACATCAAGAGCTGTTCCATGTTTCGGTAAACTTCTTCATGCTGGCATTTCCTCTTCCTCCCCTACGCTTCGAGAAGTCTGTTGGGAGTACCCAGGCCCCGCCCAGCACCGCGGGGCGTACGACGAGCAGGGGCCCAGCAGAAACGACGAACAGCGACCTCAGCCATGAGTAGTGATGAGGGGAGAGGGTGGTTCGGTGAGCTCTACCTAAAAACCGCCTTGTTTGGGCTATGGCATAGCCGCTATGCATTCGTCCTATAAGGGGGGGGCCAAGTCTACTTCGGCAGTACACTTTACTTTGTGGATTGAGCGTGATGAAGTAAGTGAGGTGTTCCCGTAAGTGTTCCTGTTCTATTCTAAGCCCTGACTCACATCAAGAACAAGCTATGTACCCTAAGCGGCCAGGACAATGCCAGGACAACATCTTTGGTTTCGAACATCCCTCAACCCGTCGTTTGTTCAACTATACGCAGTAAGTATTTATGTAAGTATGTCTTTTCACGCTTGCGGTCTTAGACCTCTGAAAGCCCAGAATGAAAATGAGTATGTCTTTTCCGGGAATCTTCAACTTGCGGCCGCGCTGGATTGGTTCTTCCAACAGCTTCACAGTCGCACACAAGTGGTCGACTTCCTGCACCGCCGGCCGACTCAGCTCCCCCGAGGTGAGTGTCACCCCTTCGCCATCGCCAGAGCCAGTGCAGCGTTTGGGGGGCTCAGGGTGAAAAGAGGGGGTGAGTGGAGGCTCCACCAAAAAAGATTAAAAAGAGAGAAAGTGAAGTTCTTCAAAAGGGAATTATTCAATGTATATAACTGTCTTGAAGAGTATGATAATAGGATAAAGCCGCAAACTACCTACAAAACCTGGGGCTTCGCAAGTGTTTCTGAGTGAAGAAGTCAGACAGTGCAGTTCTACTGAAGGGGTCAAGCCTACTAATAGCAGTAGACCCATTGGTATACACTGCACCTGCGTCATCGAGGGTGGAACTACCCTTACCAGCATGTTTGAGGCAACCGCAACCACAACGGTATGATTCTAAACAACCATGGTTTAGGAGAGTGCAAATAGCTTAAGGACGTCTTTGTGTGTGTTGCAATGTTTCGTACAACCAGGACAATTCAAGAACACCTCCCCCGTCACTGCCCGTCACTCCACCCAACTCCCTCGTCCTGTCACTCCATCCGTCGCCTCTCAGCCCGTCGCCTCCGCATCACCTGCGTCTCCGCGCGACGGCCATGGCGTCCCAGCTCCGCTGGTTCGGCGCGGCTGTCTCGCACGCCACCGGTCGGAGCTCCCACCTCCCACCGTTTCCCTTTCCCGCGTCGCTGGCTGAGGCGGTGGGGATGGGGGGGCGGATGAGGGGGTGGTGGTGGAAGTAGTGGCAGCTTGGAGGGGCGAAAGGGTTGATGGCACGATCCTCACGGATCTGATCTTGGCCTCGCAAACGGTTTAGCAGCCACCCCCCAAACGCAGAAGCTCAAAAGTCCAAGGAGCCATAAGGAGCCAAATCAATCAAATAAGGATCTTATAGGATCTTGATCCAGCAAATCATCATTTCTACTAGTCAACCAAATAAGGATCTTGATCCAGCAAATCATGATTGCTAGTACTACTATAGTCATCAATTGGTTAGGAGAATCCTCTGTCGCCTTTTGTTGAGTTGTGAATCCCATCAGGTGGATCTATGTTGTCACTTCGCTTCCCATGCAGGTGGTGGACCAGCACGTGAGCAAAGCGTCCGTCGCGCGGGAGAAGGCCCTACGAGAGATCCAAGAGGCGGGGCATGGCATGTTTTCTCTGGGGAGACCCTTCTGATTCATTGGCATGGAAGTGGAAAAGCACCTGTTTATAGAGGAAAATGGGTCATCCAAGGGGCCATGCCATCCACTTCCATGGCTATAGTGAGTCGGAGTGTAAATTCTGTTGAAGCGCGAAACGCTGTCAGCTTGTCGGGATGTACTCCGTCAGCTTGCTGCATGGGACCAGCTCTGACAGTGTTTTCCGGTGTGCACTGATTTGGATCGGGCAGGCACAGTCCACCTTCTTCTGAGGGGTCTTCAGAAAACTCCACCAAGATGGGTCATGGTTTCCGGTGTATGTTTGTTTCTTTTTTGGGGATCCAAAAAAATGTGTGGCCGGCCACACCTGCATCCGATTGGGCCGAAGTATTTCTGCACCAAGCAGAACCAGAAGCCCGGTTTCCTTACATGTGTTCAGCGTGTACATCCAAAGCCTCCCAGGTTCAGTTGAACACATCCAGCACTTCTAGGAGCGGACTCCATTTCGATGTTAGGGACACCATGGTACACCGATTTCCTGATGTGTTCAGCACGGTCTTGACGTCTTCGATTTGACCTCCCCCGTCCTTCCACAGTGGCCCCTGTTGTCCAAGCGGTTTTCAGCTGTGCGCAGGCAACGGGAAGCGCCATCTATGACGAGACCCTGGAGCGCTTTTCATCCATGTCCTTGGAAGGTGGGCCGTCTACTGAGTGGCCTCCAGGGTAGACGGGTTCTATGTCCCTTCACCGAACCTAAGGGGGGTCGTTGCTGGGAGGCCTTGCTATTTTAAGACACACCCAAAATTTGTTGTAGGGTGTGTCCCACTTTTGCAGTAACAGTAGTCAGTAGAATATTAAAACTACCAGGACCCTCCGAGGGGTGTCCAATGAACTACCCCACACTACCTATAGGCTTCCATTGGGCACCCCTTGGAGGGTCCTGGTAGTATACAATAATATACTATTTGGGGGGGAAGATCTTGCACGTCTTTGCTAACCATCAGTCATTGTTACTAGTATTGGGATATACCCAAGATATGATCTCGAGCTGATGAGCTTTTTTGTGAAGGCCCCTAAAGGTTGACTGACACTTTGTGCATGGTAACATGATCAATAGCAAGGGGATGTTACCCTCCGAAAAAGTGGATGGCGTTGATCCTTGCATTTCTATGTTCCTTTACAAAGAGGGTCTTTTCCACTTCCATGTGATGTTATCGTGCTTGAACAAAAATTACGATGATGTCGCCTTGCTGTGTTGGTTGAGAGCGGGTTGGAGATTCTCTGCATGGCATTTGGTCTCGTCACCAGCCCAGCTCTGAGCCATTCGGTTTCGCAAGCTCTGAGCCATTGCGGAGGTGACTTCTCCTTTGACGCTGAGCAGTATCCTATCCGGGAGTCTTTGCTTGAGGCTTGTGGCTTTCCAAGCACCACCGACCTCACAACCTTACATGAGCTTGGGTTCGGCGCGAAGGATGCTCGGAGCCAGCTGGGTGAGAGGACCAAGACCTAATAGGTGAGAGGAAAAGCTTAAGGACGGTCGTTTGGGTTTTTGCACGAAACACGGGCCGATTGCCGTGGCAGCGGCTCATGTCAGAACCTGTTTTCGTGCTGAAATCCTTACAGCAAACGGAGAATACACTTGCCCCCCAAAATCTGACATTGACCGAGCTCTTTTTTGCCGAGAGGGTTTCAAGGCTGATGTGGTGCTTTCTCGCTGGTGGCCACACAAGCCGTATCAAGCCGTGATAGATTGTCAAAACTGTCAGCAAGTCCTTTTGTGTCTTTCAGTGTGTATGATCCAGGGGTCGAGGAGTAATAGTAGGCTTCGTGCAGAAAGGCTGATGTTTCATCGTGTTTGTCCGGTTCACCTTCGACACATTTTGTTCTCACCCTAGGCCTCCAAGTGCCTTCAGAAGATGATGAAGATGTTTGAGGGGGGGTTTGGAGGGTCCAAATACCTTCTGAGGAGGTACTTGGAGGTGTAGGGTCAATGTTTGGCATTGTTTTTCCACTTGGAGTTTCATGGCTCAAGCGGACGCCCCTTGCTTATGAAACCTCAACAATGCAGGTTACCGCTGTGTCTGGCAACACAGTTGCTCAGCTTGATGAGAATCAGCTGGGCAACATGGTGGAAAGTGGGCAAACTTTTCGAGACCTCAAGCGACTTCTTTCAGCTCAGGTTGGGTGCTCAAGGTTTCAGCAAAGACTCTTCAGTGACGAGCTTGGCGAATTGGAGGATGACTTAGCTCTACGACCACTATCAAGCGTCCAGCTGGTAATGCTGCCCTTGTGTGCCCCTGATGCGATCATAAATCACGAACTGCTCACAAGCTGCACGTACAATGATGTGGCTCACCTCGAGAGGCTGCTTCAAAAGCCGCTGGACCCGAACGGGATATTTTTGGTTCGTGCTGCCCAGGTAGGCCACTTGGAAGTTGTGCGATTGTTGCTCGAGGCTGGAGCTGACAA